CAGGATACTCAGACCAAATTATTACGCCTCAGCCTTAAAAACCTAAATATTCGAGAGGACTTTGAAAGACCCTCACAAAGGCAAACAGCAGAAACATTAAAACTAGGATCAATCAGATTTGGATATTATCAGATGAAGAGTGGAATTTGGTCAAGGTATATATAACTGAATCAGAAGCAATAATCCATAGCAATTATGAAATAGCAGGATGCCAAATTGAAGTTGGTAACATAGTCCATAAAGGCAAACAAATCAAAAGGGAAAAATCAATACGAAGATACTCTTCAAAACATACAACTAAAAAACAATGGAAACAATTCTCAACACAAATCACAAATATATTAAAAGCACAAGAAGAAAGAATCAATCTTAAGCAAGTTTTAGTGAACAAGTTAAGGAACCTTATATGGAAAGCAATCAATCAGGCCATGAAAAACAACATCAAAAGAATCCAAACCAGACAAACCAGCATCAAGGGAACAAACAAAACAGATAAAAAAACTGCACATATAATTACAGCACTTAATAAAGTAATAGTTATTGCAAAGAAATATCTATTAGAAAAAACAGATGCCAAAAGTATGACAAGACAAGTAAATAAATGGATTAAAGTAAACAATCAAATAGCAAAACTGTTGTCGATCAAACTTACAGATATACCTAAGGGCATAAGCTTGGTTCATTGGTTCCAAGAAATATATAACCTGAGGACAAGCATAGCAAAAGTTTTCAAACTACTCCTTCAGTATAGAAAACAAGCCCAAATTCAAAAATATATAGAAATACAGCAATATAATCATCAATTCACAAAGAAAAAGATAATAGATTCACTCCTTAACAGAAAACCAACACATATAAAGATGAACAAGTAACTTCCTAAAGATCTAGAAGAAGATGCGATTACAGATCCAACCACTATCAAAAATATGGCAATAGACTATTACAAACAAATCACACCTTCAATACCACAGAAACAAAAACTGAAGAATCAAAATGGAAGACTGAATATGTACTAAAAACACAAATAGATTTAACATGATATATACAGCTCACTGAACCCTATACAACATATGAAATAGAAGAAATAATTAAAAAAATGAACAATAAATCCATGCTGGGCAAATTCTAACTCAGCTATAATATGATTAAAAAAATGGGAACAACTGCTTATACAAGAATAGCAAATATTTTTAACAGAGTATTTGAAATACAAAAATTTCACGATTTTGGCAAAACAACTTAATATATCAAATATCCAAAAAGAAAAATTGATACTACAACCTCAATCTGATCAGTAAAGATGGATTTCTAAATTATTTGTGAGGATATAATTCAAATGTCCCTTATTATTAAAAATTTTTATTTCTATATTAAGAAATAAAAAA